AAGACTACAGTTCTTGACCTTCTGCACCAAGCACTTCAGTTCCGCCTCAGTGTCAACAAGAAAGGTTGTGTCATCTGCATCATCTACTCCTTTGGAGAACTTGGTTAATGCAAATAGGATCTCCTTTTTAGGAGACTCCCAGAATCTAGATTATATTCTGTTGATTTTGTATTTTCAATTCATTTATTTAATAATCTATTAATGCCATAGACTAGTGCTCCTATGTTTGCCCCAGTTTTTTTAGTGTTGATCTTTATAGTTACAGGTTTCTGCATAGGTATGCTTGATCCATCTTGAGTTTCTGTGTTGTTTTTTTAAAAACATGGTGTAAAGTTTAGATCTTTCACTTTCCACAGATTTGCTGTTAGTTGCCATCTAGCACATTTTATAGCAACCCTATAAAAAACAGATTTGAGTCTTGTGCTATCCTCTGCCATCTTCATCATCTCGGACACACTTTAACCCATTGCTGTAGTCAGTCCATCTGTATCAATCCATCTCAATGAGAGTCTTCCTATCTTCTGCTAACCCTCCACCTTACCAAACATCATGCCTCTTTACAAGGACTAATTTCCTAATATCATGCTCAAAGTATGTGAGACTAACCTTCACCATTCTTGCCTCCGAGAAGCACTCTGGCTGCTCTTATTCCCAAGACATATCTGTTAATTCTTTTGGCACTCCATGGGATATTCATTGCTCTTCTCCACCACCTCAAGTCAAAAGCATCAGTTCTCTTCCTGTCATCCTTCTACATTGTCAAGTTCTCAGATGCATAACAAGTGATTGAAAAGACCATGGCCTGAATCAGGCCCACTTTAGTCTCCAAGATGACATCATTCCTCTAAGGTAATTTTGAGAGATCCCTGAGAGTAGACTTACTAAATCTAGTACGTCTTCTGATTCCTTGAATAATAGAGCAAAGGGTGTTGATTGTAGATCCAAATAAGAGTAAAATTGTTGAGAATTTCAGCCTTTTCTCCATCTATCAAGACGTTGTCTGTCAGCCCAGTAGTGAGGCTTTCTGTTGAGATGTAATCAATGCTGAGGACTGGTTTTATTTATTTATATATAAATATATATATAAATATATATATAAATATAAAATTAAATATATATATAAATTGTTGTTACTTGCCTAGCATGACTTATAGCAACCCTATGAACAAAAAAGGCTTAAAGCCCCTCTATAACTATCAACATTTATCAAAGTTCATAGAGCCTCCAGAAGCATGTTATTTAGGAAGTAGATACCATTCCTGAGATAGAGATAGACATAGACATAGACTTAGACATAGACATAGACATAGACATAGACATAGACATAGACATAGACATAGACATAGACGAGATGGAGATAGATCTATATAAACTTCAGCAAGTGTTTCAAGTCCCTTTGCATAGTCATTAAAAAGCAAATACAAACATCTTTCTAGTATTCTCTGCTTTCAGCAATAATCCATCTGCCGTCAGTAATGAACCCCTATTCCATGACTTCTTCTGAATGCAAACTTAATTTCTGGAAGTTAATGATGTTCTGTTATGGCCATTTTAAAATAATTTTCAGCAAGATTTTACCTGCATGTGATAATGATATGATTCAATAATTCCAACACTCTTGTCAATCTCTGTTTTTAGAATAGGAGTATATATGGGTCTCTTTCAGTTAGTTGGCTGAGTAGTCATCACCTAAATGTCTATGCATAGGCTAAAGAGCACACCCAGGGCTCCATCTCTTTGTTTAAATATTCAACTAGTATTCTATCAATTCCTGGGGCCTTATTGTGTGCTAAAGCCTTCAGTTTAATTTGAACTTTTTTCCTCATTACCTCTAAATAAATTCAACTCTCCAGTTACAATGCTGAAAGATTCTATGAGCAAAATTTTGAAAGATGCAGAAAACAACAAAAAAGATAAAAGAAATACACAAGAGTCACTGACCTAAAAGAAACTGATGAACACTGAACTATTTCAAGAAACAGGATATGATCAAGAACAAATGGTAATGAAAGAAAGGGGTCTTTTTATTATTAGTCTCTTTTTCTCTAGTTAGACTTCTTTTTAAATATTTTCTTGTTAGAGTGGCAATGTTGTCCTTTGTAGAGTTGTTTATTTAAATATTTGTGGACAAATCCAACTGATTTATTTTTATATTGATTTGTGTTCCCTGCTGCTTTTCTGAATCAGTCAATTACATCCAGTAATTTTCATGCTGTGTCTTTAGCATTATCTATATATGTTGTTCTTAGGTGCCATTGAGTCAATTATGACCCACAACGACCCTGTGAATCCCATATTGAACACTCTCTTGTCCTGTGCCATCTTCATACTTCCTGACATATTAGAACCCATAGCAGCAGTCACTGGGTCAATCCACCTAACTAAGGGTCTTCCTCTCCTTCTCTGACCTTCTGCCTTTCCAAACACCATGTTTCTTTTCAAGGAATAGCCCCTCCTAGCAACGTTCCCAGAAAATGTGAGACAAAGCCTCATCATCTTTGCCTCCAAAGAGCACTCTGGCTGCACCCTCTCTAAGACACATTATTATGTTCCTTTGGCAGTTCATGGGATATTCAGTACTCTTCTCCAACATAACAGCTCAAAGGCATCAGTTCTTCTGCAACCTGCAAGTTATCTCAGTACAATAATCTGACAGACAAGTGTTGTATCAATTAGAATAATATTCTCCCCAAACATACCAAACTGACAGTTTAGTCTGTAACTCTAATTGCAAATCAGTCTTCACACCAGGCCCAAGGACTCAACCAACTTAATCACAAAGGCCCATCATCAGGTCATTATTGGTTTAAACAAGAGGTTCCCAGCCCACAGTTAATTGTTAATTAAATAAAAAAGACCAAACAACCCATATGTGAGTGTTGTTTAAATTTTTAAAAGACCAAACAGCCTACATCTGATTGTTACTTAAATAAAAAAGACTAAACAGTCCACATCTGACTGTTAACTAATTTAAAAAGTCCAAACAGCCAAACATGTTGGGGATTTTATCTATGTATAGAGTCATATTATCTCCTCCCAATTAAACTTCCTCTGACAGCTCACTGGAGGGGTCACCTTTGGGTCATCTCCCACTCCATGGCACACAAAACAGTGTATGATGTTCTTGTTATGTGCCATCATGTATGACTGGTAGTGACCCTTTGAAAAACAGATCTGAACTCTGTCCTCTCCTGTGCTATCCTCACACTTCCTGACACACTAAAGCCCATTACAGCAGTCACTGTGTCAATCCACCTGGTCAAGAGGGTCTTTCTTGCTTTCATTGACCCTCTACCCTTCCAAGCATCATGACCCTCTCCAAGGAATAGACCCTCCTAGCTACATGCCCAAAGTATGTAAGCCTCAGCATCTTTGCCACCAAAGAGCACTCTGACTGCACCCTCTCCAAGACATATTTGTTTGTTCTTTTGGCAGTCCATGGGATGTTTTGTCCAACACCACAGCTCAAAGGCATCTATTCTTATTCTGTTATCCCTGTTCATTGTACAGCTCAGAAGCATAGCAAGTGATCAGAAAGACCATGGCCTGAATCAGATGTACTTTAGTCTTCACACTGACATCATTTCTCCTCAGTAATTTGGAGAGGTCCCTAACTGCAGACGTTCCCAGTACAATATGTCTCTTGATTTCCTGATTGCTGGTTCCAAGTGTGTTGTGGATCTAAGTAAAGTAAGATAAAGTTGTTGACAGTTTCAATCTTTTCTCCACCTATCAAGATATTGCTTATTGGTCCAGTGATAAAAATCTTTTTTTTCTTGACATTGAGATGCAATCTTTATTGAAGGCTATATTCTTTGATCTTCTGCAATAAATGCTTCAAGTCCTCCTCATTTCCAGTAACCAAGGTTGTGTCATCTGCATAATGCAGGTTATTGATGACCCTCCCTCTGATCCTACTGCCACATTCTTCTTCATAGAGTCCAGCTTCTCGTTTAATTTGCTCAGCGTACAATTGACTAGGTATGGAGAGAGAATACAACCTTGACACATTCCCTTCTTAATTTTAAACTGTGTAGCGTCCCTTGCTCTGTTTGATTCCACATATAGGTTTCACATGAGCACAATTAAATTCTCTGGGATTCCCATTACTCTCATTGTTAGCCATAGCTTGTTATGATCCACATAGTCAAATGCCTTTGCATAGTCAATAACACTGAAATAGATATTCTTCTGGTATTCTTTACTTTCAGCCAGGACCCAACTGATCATTATGAAAACATAATTATTATCTGCTATTTATTTGTGTTTTAAGAGAAAAATTGTATTAAGCATGAACATATGAGTGTGTTTTTTATATGAGAAGGTTATAAGTTTGGTTATGTTTTTATTTCTTTATTTTACAGAAGAAGATAAATATAATATTTATTCACCCTTGCTCTTCAAGTATTTCCTGGCAGAAGGAATCATCAGTGGGCATACTTTGTTGGTTGCATCTGCTAAAGAAGACCCTGCTGACATTTTACAGGTAGAGAATCTACTAGTTTAATGCCTATCAAAGTCTGTACTCTTTACTATATATGAACCATGAACCTTTAATGAAGAAGTCTATATATGTAAAACATAAGTTTGCATATGTACTTCTTTAAAGTGCATTCATAGAACTATACATATTAAATTTATTATAACATAATGAATTAGTATTGTTAATATATTTAATAGCAAATGTTTAATTTTACTTTACTAATTGAACAAAGGGAAGAAGTATCTTTAATTCCTCTAATTATTATATGTTTTCATTTTTAATATTTATGCCAGATACCAATACACCCAAGAAACTTTTTTCCAAAGCCTTTCTTTACCACTCATTAAGTATGATTTAAATATTAACAGTAATTACTTAAGGGCAATTTAAACTTTAATTTTCACTTTGAAACTATTTGATCAGATATAGAAAGTCACTAAATACCACATATGTCAAGACAAATAATGCAATGAATAGCAAAAGTGATATGTATAAAGTCAGAAGATTCTTGATAAAGCTTCCAAATATTTCATATTTCTACTTTATTTTATTGACTATGCAAAGATATTTGACTGTGTGAATCATAACAAATTATGGCTAAAATTGAGAAGAATGGGAATCCGAGAAACCTTAATTGTGCTAATATAATTCTGTTCCTAGAACAAAAAGCTGTTATCAGAACCAGGTAAGGGAGTCATTGCTGCATGGTTTTACATCAGAAAGGGTGTGCATCAGGGTTGTATATACCTTTCTCCATACCCATTTAATTTGTATGCTGAGCAAATAATTCAAGAAGCTGAACTCTATGAAGAAGAATTTGGCATAAGGATTGGTGGAGGACCCATCATCAACTTGTGTTATGCAGATGACACAACTTTGCTGAAAGTGAAAAGGATTTTAAATGCTTGCCATCAAAAATCAAGGACTGCAGTCTTCACTATGAATTACATCTCAACATCAAGAAACCAAAGATCCCGACCACAGGACCAATAGTCAGCATTATGATAGATGGAGAAAGAATTAAAGCTGTCAATAATTTCCTCTTCCTTGGGCCAACAATTATTTCATATTCCTTGGATCAACAATCAGTACTCTTGGTATTAGAAGTCAAAAAATCAGGAGACTTGGCATTTTGGCAAGTCTGCTGTAAGAGAACTCTCCAAAATGCTAAAGAATGATGATGTCAGTTTGAGGACTAAAGTGCACTTGATTCTGGCCCTGATCTTGTCAACCATCTGCTACATATCAAAGAGCTAGATAATGAATAAGGATAACGGATGAAGAACTGATGCCTTTGAGTTGTAGTGCTGGACAAGAGTACTGAATATCCCATAGACTGCCAAAAGAACAAATATATATGTGTTGGAGAAGATGCAGTCAGAGTACTCCTTGGAGGCCAGGATGGTTTTTCATAATTTGGACGTATGACTAAAGGAGGTTATTCCTTGGAAAGGGACATCATGCTTGAAAAGATGGAGGGTCAGTGAAGGAGTGAAATATCCCCAATGAGATGAATTGACAGGGTTACTTCAACAATGGGTACAAGTGTGTTGGAGATTATAAAGATGGCACAAGATAGGGCAAGTTTCAGTTGGGCTGTTAGTAGGGTTTCTTCTATGAGTCGTACTTGACTTGATGGCTCACAACCACAACAATATCTTATGTCAAATAGAAGAAGAATTATTCCAAGGCACTATCATGTATGTATTTTTATTGCTTTAAATAAATTTGGCATAAACAGAAAAACATTCATTAGCAAAAATTGTTATACCCAGTAGGTGTTAGTGTAGTAGGTGTTGTTGGAGGTGCCGTTGAGTTAACTATAACTCATAGCAACCCTATGAACAACAGATCAGTACCTAGGCCTGTCCTCACTATCTCCGCCATGCTCCAGTTCAGAGTTGTAGTCACTGTACCAGTCCCTCTTGTTGAGGGCCTTCCCCTCTTTTGCTGACCCTATAACAAATAGCAAATTATGGATTGAGAAGAATGGGAATCCCATAACACTTAATTGTGCTTATGTGAAACCTATACATAGATCAAAAAATTGTATGAATACAAAAAAGGTACACTGCATAGTTTAAAATCAGGAAAGATGTGTGTCAAGATTGTATCCTTTTTCTTTCTCCTGGGTGGTCAAGATACTAAAAGAGCTCTTTAAAATTATAAAATACTCCTGAAAACTGGAAAGATTACGTTTAAAATAATCACAAAGCACTTCACACTCTGTTTTTTTAACTTCTGAGTTAGTTAGTTCTTAACAGAATAAAGGATGTTAGTCTTCACACTTTTTTGCTTTCATGTTCCTAACAAATGTTATAAAATTATGTTCTAATTGCACATTGTCATTGTCATTGTCATTGAATGGAAACTAACTCATAGGTGACCCTCCCCTGGCTTTCCAAGGCTTTAAATTGCTTGAGAGAAGATTGCCTATTTCTCTCCCTCAGAGTTGCTAGTGGACTTGAACTGCTGGAGAGTGACAACCTTTGCTTAGCAGTCCAATGCCCTATGCACTGTGCCACCAGAACAGAGGCAATATCTGGAATAACATTTTTTGCAACTAAATCAACTCATAACTAAAAATCTTTAGGTAACCTGAATAATTTATAGGTTTTTAATTCTAAGGTATTTTAAAATTTTAAGGGGTGTTATTGCCTGTTTAGTTAAAAACTTCTCCATAACTCTTCTAAATGGATCCAGTAAAATCTAAATGTCAAAGTAATTTGATGTCAGATCCTTTCTAGAATTACCTATATAATCAAACTCTTCTTTAAAAGCTGAACAATTTATATCAATTTTTTTTCTTGATTTTATAATTTATCTTTCAGTCCCTCGTAGAATTATTCCCCAATGTGAGAATTTTATGTTTTCAGTATTTATTTATTAATAACTTTATAATCATTTTCTGGAACAAAACTTCATACTCAATTAAAATTACATTTCATGTTTCTGATGACTAAATATATTTCTCCTTATTTTGGCCATTACAATTATTGTTACTATCAATGAGCAACATGGCTTCATTCAGTTAATGAATAGATGAATGTTATATATTATTAGAACGAGACCAGATTCATTCTCAGTTCTATTCATATATTTTATTGTTACAAACATGAACTATGTAAGCTCAAGTAAAAAGGAATAGAAGGAATATTCTTATAGAAATGCCCCTTCTTTTTTTAAAACTTTTCTTGGGTTATATACTAAAATATCACAATATGTCTTGCATTAAATATTGGTTTTCTTAAAAAAATATTGTTTTTAAAAGTTTGTCTGGTTTGTTAGTTCCAGCTAAAATTTTGTTGACAACAATAAATTGGAAGCCAATGAATGGCCCAAACCAATGCTGTAATTGTTTAGTTTTAATTTTATGATGTATGATTGGGGATTGCTGGAACCTATAACCAAAGCAAATATTTCTAGTACAAGGAAAGGGAAAAGACAATCTTATAGACCATAATTATCTTAAAACTGTGTATAACTAAAAGACAAGTAAAAGATAAAAAGCCCCATCAGCTGCCTAAGTTATATTATATAACCACCCAGCAATTTATCCATCATCCTTTGAAAACATATTCATGCCTATTGTAGTCAAAGCTCCTTCAGGAAATCAGTATTAAAATGTAGCAGTGAAAAATTACACCCCTTAGGAAATCCTATAGAACAATATACATGATGTTGTTAAGCATTTGAAAGCACTTTATGCTAAGGACTTTTTCAGTTAACTTTTGCCTAAAGACATTTTCTTGATCATCAAATATGGTAATAAATATTTTTACATTAAAATGTTTAACTGTTTATCAAGTTAGCTAATTTTTTAAAAAAAATAAAAATTTTAAATATAAATATGCACACACATAACCAAACATTTCTTTAAAACTTCAAAATGTTAAGATTTGCCAAATATATCCTACCAATAGTTTTTAATAATATTTATATGTTAATATTTCTAGAATTAGACAAAGTAAAATTATTTTAAGATATAAATTGAAATACTGTCTTGTGACCCAAACATACTTTGAATATCTGTAAGTGATGACATACCAGGTACCAGATAAATAACAGTAATATTCATGTAGAAAGGAGTATCAGATATCTAGAACCAAATGTGAATTCTTGGTAATTAACTTTTTTTCCCCCTCAACTTTTTCAGTAATCTGGTATAAGTATGGCCTACTCGGTATCATTCAAAGTTAAAACAACATGAGAAAATTGTAAATTAAAATTTATATTTCTAATATGTGCTAAGAATAAGTATGTAATTACAAGCAGATATATTAAAACTATTGTGATCTTTAATAAAGCCGTATTTTAGATATGTTTTTATTATCAAATATATCATTAAATCAATAGTTTGAGCTTAAAATTAATTAAAACTTAATTTCATATTTATAACGCAGAAAAAAATTTACATAATTAAAAATAGTAGTAACTTTATTATAATCTGCAAATCATGGAAATAGTAGCAACTAATTAAAAAAACCCTATCACATAGAATATTTATTAATGGATATTATAAACCATTTATGACAATTTAGATTAGCATCTTTGGAATCCTTTCATGAGTTCAAAGATCCAAAAGTAAAAATTAAAATGATATCTTAATTTGAATACTTAATTTTTATCTCAAAATAAATTTTGAGCTCAATTATTAAATCTGATTAACAATAATTTATATCTTTAGCTTGTTTTTATTTCTGAGTTCATAGATATTATTTAGAATTAAATGAAGCTGAAATATTTGTTTACCAATGTAAAGTTTACATTTCTATTAAGAAGGTTTCTTTTCCGTTTTTCAATTATTTCAATGTTAAAATATCTGTTTGTCATTTATCTGTTCTTCACTAATCAGAAAACAAATATTAGAAGTCTAAACCTAGTGCAGTGGCAAATTCTCTATAACTCCATTTTATTCAAATCTAGTCTAAGTAAATAGAATACTTAGAAATATATCAGATTTAACCTTTTATTTTCAAGTTTTGCAAGACATATCAAGAAAA